AAGAGTTTCGACAAATGTCTACCCGAGCCGAGGCGCAGCCGAAGGTGAGGGTTGACAGTCGGAACAAGTTGCAATGACGGTTCCGCACGTGTACTGAACAACTATTTTTAATACACTTGCGAAAAAATTATGCAATTTAATTAAATAATAAAAACACAATAAACTCAACTAACTAATCATTTATTTCTTATACAAATTATTGTTCACATATACATTGGTACAGTTTTTTATACTAACTGGAGAAGTTTTAGGTTGCATATTTATTTACTGTTTGAGACAAACTATTATTAATTTCGTATGATTGTTCATGTATATTTAATATATAATATAACAAACAACTAAACGCGCAAAGAACATTTATGGAAAATGGCGCCAACCGTAGAAGAATATAAGCAGATTTTTTTTTTCTTCACCCATTCTGGATAGGCAAAGGGAACTATGCCCATACAGCCAAGTCTTCAGTACAATTTCTTATTGATATGAAATGAAATTTAATGAGATGAAATGAAATCTAACCTAACTCATTGAATCAAATCATTAAATATGATATTGAAACAAAGCAGTAGCTTCTTTTTAGAAATATTTGCATGAATCATAAAAATTTCTATGAATTTTTTTTAGTAAAAACTTCGTGGTTGGTTTTTTCTTTTTAATAGACATTATTTTGACAGTTAGGAAAGAAAACGCACTAGTTCGGAAAAGGTAAAAAAGAATGCACGAGTGTGTAATAGCCCACATCCCGAACGCTATACGTCCCTGCAATACGCCACTTTTTCAGCAACTGTATTAAAAAATAAAATACAACATTTAATACAAGATACAGAATAATAATAAAATTACTTTCCAAGAAACCAAAACCTCCATTGGTACTCTCTTATTTATAAAAGAAAATCTATTTTAATAACTAAAGCGCTTGTGTATTCTCATTAAATTGTATTTATGCTATGACGACAAGAAAAACGCGAATGGAGACAACACATTTAATACTGGAGATATAAATGTGAGAAATAACCCCGATTAGCCAGTAGATCAAGCGACGCAAATGGAAATGGATATGCCATACACTCCGAAGGGATCCCAATCATATCCCAAGCAGGCGCTTGACTGGAACCCACACGGAAATCGGAAACATCCAGTCCCGGGCAAACCTGACGTGGTACAGTTGCAGATGAGGCAAAGAGAGCGGGAAAGACTTGGAGCGAGGTGAAGTACGAGGCTCAAGACCGTAGACGATGGAAACTCACCGTGGACGTCCTCCGCCAGATCTAGGGGTTATAGGACATTAAGTAAGACTTAAAATGAGGTTTTATAACATTAATATGGGGCTATACTATAGGTATAAGTATTTTTAAAATGTTGAGTGTCCTTAGCTCTATGTATTTTGGATTTTTATAAGAATCACTTTATTAACAGCCGATGGCTGGCCATGCGTCATACTCGTGAACGGGTGCTACTTGTGGTGACTGGTCGGACTTGAATTCGTGTAGGTATGCGGTGATGTTAATTATTTCGACTATGTGTTTGCGTGTAAGTGCGTGCTCATATTTCACCATTCCTCCTGCTGATAGAGCACAAATCTTTGGTTATAATTTATTTTATTATTATTAATTAACAATTAATTACTTAAGATGTCATGTGGAACATGGTGTAATGGTTGCAGCTCCTTACAAACATTATGTAAAACAAAAAACTTGGCGATTAAAAAGAGTGGGGGGGAGTTTATTGCTCAGTTTAAGCCAGTTTCCTCCCGATGTCTTCCTTCACCGTTCGTTCTAATATAAAATGCGCACTCAGAAAGGAAGTCCATTGGTGCACAACCGGGATCGAACCTACAACGAGGGATGAGAGTCGAACGCTGATGCCACTAGGCCAACACTGCTCAAATTTTATCACTTTGAGATTTCATTTGTATAAATATGTGTAGTTTAATTAAGACGCGTAGCAAATTAGAATTTTATAAGTTCACCTAACCGCAAGTTCTTATTCCGCAGTTTCTAATAAAAATAATGAAGAGTTGTAGAGACACTTTTTTTTTTTTATTCAAATAATCACTCATCAATCACGTAATGTACACTTATGAACGTCAAAAAAGAAATACATATTAAATGCTTCTAATTTTACATTTACTGCCAGCTCTCCAAATCAAGGGCGTAGAACAGACGAGAACAACTGGCAATAAACTCAACGCCACTCTTTTGCCGCCGCCATACTTAACATAGGCCTGGATCTTCAAAACCAGCATTATTATAATCCCCCCCCTAATCCCCGATCTTTTCATCGATATTTTTATACGTTTTATCTGTTACACATGATATTTGTGGTAAATACTCCTGACATCAAGTCTAAATTCCGCATATAGTTGTTAATCTATTAGAAACCTAATAATGCTTCATAATTATCATCTGTAGCTGATCGTAGAATAAACTCATGATTAGAATAGTTATTTTATTTGTATTCCTATTTTGTTACATAAGAATATGTCTAGACAATCGTATCTTAATAATAAATCAATCAAAACAAATTAGTTGAAATACAATATGTGTGTAAATTTTATCAATTAAGTTAAATAATTGTAACCCACGTTAAGTGTACGGTTCCTGGTTCCGGTGTGCTTTAAATAATTGAGTACCTATATTATTTTCACTATTAACCACTCAGGTATAACTAAGGAATAATTCTAATTAATTCAATGTGAAATTAAAGTAATGTAAATTCTGAAGAGAGCGCCTGCGACTATACTCTCGGGGCGTAACGACGATATAGGATCGCCACGCTTATAAAACTAAGAAAGCCTGAGTGAGCAAAATGTACAGCCTTGACTCGTACACGCAGCATGGTTAAGATAAGCGGGCCATAGACGGACCGCATGTTGCAATCAAGACCGCCAAGGCCCGCTTTAAATGTAATAAAACCGCTTATGAACAAAGAATTCGAATAATATACAGTAAAACCTCAGTGTGTCAAAAGTCAAAATAATTTATTCATATAGGTATGTAACACAATCTACACTTATAAACGTCAAAAAAGACAACTGTCTAAGCGAGAAAACTCTATAAATGAGAAACATGAAACCTGTATAAGTGAGATTGATACTTGCCTATACCTCTATAAGCGAAAGTTTAATAAACAATAAAATTAGGAGTCCAGAGCTTTTCAGCTAGTAACGGCTGGTTAGAGGGTTTTATAGACATGTGAGACAGACCCCTTCTGTCAGCTAGAAACTCGGGAAACTTCTATAAAAGAAAATAAGATCGCGGTCCCTTGAGCTCTCACTTATACAGGTTTGACTGTATAAATTAAAAGGAAAATTGGACACAATAGTCGTACAGGTTTTAATTTTTTTTCGAACAGGGGAAGTTCACCTCATCAATCTCAGTTAAGTGATATGATTGTGGACATGCTCATGGACATTCGCAATGCTAGAGGGCTCACGAGTGTAGGATCCTAAGTCGAATTGGTTCGGAAACACTTCTGTGTAGGTAACACTTCCGTGGAAAGTAAGTTGTCAGCGTACATCATTTGATTGAAGATGTAAGGAAATGTAACTAAGAAGATGCACAATTAAAGCCGATAGCACGAGAATTGATTCATGTTGACAAGGTAATTGGTAGATCTCACGTGAGGGAAAAGTATTCCTGATATTGTTTATAAACAATTAAAAGTGCAATAAAGTCAGTCAGTAATTTTCTCGAGTCTTCTATTAATACGGGAGACGGGAAATCTGGTTTAGGTGGAAGGGAACCACTCGATACAAATAATTCAGACAAAAATTACAAAAATCTGTGATGTAATTAACGAAGTACTTACCTATATGTTTTATTAGGTTTCTTAATCATATTGTAATAATTCTAAAAAGACTAATTTCTTAAGAAAGAGAAAGAGATACATAGATATTTATGAATAATATAAATGTATTAGTGGCGTTAAGAATCTCTTACCATGCACTTAGTTTGGTAGAAGACTTCTGAGTTGAACCTGAGTTGTCGTAGAAGAATTGTAGGAATCTCGTTACTTAGAGGAAACCAAAGAGCACATACAATGAAGAGCTACTTGACTAATCTGTTATTTGCCAACAATTAAGAACGAGACATTTAACGGACTCGTCCTTCACTATCTAAATGGTATCGAACTCAATAGTAGGTATATCTAGAAGAGTATATATAAGTAGAGTAATAGTATATAATGGACGAAAAACTATTAACTTCTTCAGGTACCAATGAATAGGCGCTCTCTATGCCTAGGTATGTAATGAATTCGCGTTTAAATTCGTGAAATCAGAGACAGTATTGAGCTGATATCTGACTGTCTCCTTATCACTTATCTGACAAACGCACTAAATGTAGAGTGATGAGTTACATTCCTTCTTCTTCTTTTAGTGCTTCCCCGTTCCTGGAGGTGTACAATTTATAAAATAGTAACACATTTATATTCTATATATTATATGTCTTAAACATTTTCAGAGGTCAGAGCTTTCAAGAGACATCAGAATCTACCTATAGTAGGTATTACTAAGCTACAGTGACAATTCAAACTATTAAATTTGTTAAGTTAGGTTACAACATAGGTAATTATTCAATGAACATCTTGTATCACATATAGATATGGTGGAAAAAGACACTAAACTTATAGATAACGATAAGTAGGTACACTGTGTTTTTACAATAGAATCACGGCCTAACATTCTGTTATCACAATGGTGGCGGCCTAGATGGGTTAATTGGCTACATAAGCCATCATTTCCATGATGGTCAAAGTTAAAGTTAGCAAACGGCGGTAATGAGCGCGCGGGGCGTCGCGGGCGCCAGACGCGCGGCCGCGGACCGACTGGCGTCTCGGCAGCGGGCGGCGGGCGGGGCCGACCAATGAGCGCGTCGGGCGGAGCGCAGGGCGGAGCCGGCGCGGGGCGGGACGGGCTCGGCGGGCGCGGCGGGCTCCGACGCCACTCTCGCCCCGAGAGCCACTAGAGGCTGAGCCGTTGAGTGGCGTCGAGTGTCGATCGGATGTCCGCGGAGGGCGGCGGCTATTCGCCGTGTCCGGCGGAGGCGCTGCCGGAGCTGAGCGCCGCCGAGCTGGCGATGAGCCTATCGCCCAAGTCGGCGCTGCTGCAGCAGAACCTGTCGCAGTTGCAGCTGCAGCATTCGACCCCTTTCTCGGTGACGGACATCCTGTCGCCCATCGAAGAGTACCGCAAACTGGAGCTGGCCAACAACCCGCCGTCGCCGTACAGGTGCGTGCATCGATCTGGCGGGGGACCCTCCCGATTTTTCGAGTGGCCGAAGGTCTCGAGGGCACTCGAGCGCGCCTAGTCGAAGGATATAGTTCGGTGACGTTTGTTTGTGCAGGTATGTTGTGATCGGTCAAGTGACGTGATCGTGTGAGGTCAACGATGTGTCGGTACCTATATGGGCTCGCGTTTCTCGACGAATGCCACTCGAGGATGTAAACAATATTAGCGGTGTAGATGCAGTAGGTAGCGGAGGACCGATCCTGCCCCTTAGGGAACTGCGCCACCTAAATGCTAACAAATGAGTTTTATGTACGTATCTACGAAATTATCAATTGCTAACGGTTGCGGTGCAAATCATAAATAGTTATTCCAATTTTATTCTTCGCTTTACTATGTCTGGCGTAGCGGAGTTTTTTTTTATTTTTAGAGCTTCGGGTTAAATTCGCGCGTTGCTCTAGCAATTTAAAATTGGGCTAGTATTTTAATGTTGACAAATGATGAACATTACTGCAGTGTATTACCAATTTTATTATTATTTCTTTATGAACGGCTTAATTAGATGAGAGTTTTGTTTATTTAATTAATTAAATATGCATCGTTAATTCAAGTGTAGTTTTATTGTAGGAAAGAGATTGTAAGCGGGGACATTTAATTTACTTTAACAATATCATTTTTACGTTTATCTTCCTAAACTTAATTATATGAAACTAATTTAATAAATTGGGTGCTAACTGCTAGTGCATTTATTAATCGAATTTCTATTTAATACTAATGCCGAGAAAACTCTGTAATTTAATGTTTTATTACAATATTAATTTCAAACCGAAATAGGTAATTTATTATTATTTGTTTAGAAAAAAAACTTGTAATTTTTATTTCATACGCTTTGACTTAGGTACCTTACGAATTTTTATAGCTCCGCGCTCACTTTATTACTTTCTATAAAAAGTTTTAGCAATCTATAATAGTATATGTTATGTTAGTAAATACATAATATCACTCATTAGCAGGCTATGAATAGACTCATATTTATTAAAGCTTGCTGATATGTAGTAGAAGTGCTCAAAGTAATCAAGTGAAACAAAACATAATTTAGACTTTTTACATAGGTACATACAAAGAAATATTTGTTTACATTCCTACAATGTCTTTCTTGCTTCATCCAATCTCTAATATTCACAACATCCTACTAATATTCTGATATATCTTCTATCTAATATTATAAATCTAATTTTATGTTTGGTAGGTTTTAATACGTAACAACTGTATCGATTTTACAAGTGAAGTTCGAGAACTTAAAAATAATATAATCTTTGCCGTTCCTATGAATTGTTTAGTGCTTCGGCATTCGCTGTTTAGATTATTGACAATAACTTTTTAGGACCTAAGTTAACGAATATTTAAATAATTAGCTAAGTATGAAAGTCATAGGTTCGATCCTGTGCACCAACGGACTTTCCTTCTATGTGCACATTTAACGATCGCTCGAACGGTGAAGGAAAACATCGTGAGGAAACCGGCTTGCCTTGGACCCAAAAAGTTGGTGTGTGTCGGGCACAGGAGGCTAATCACCTACTTGCCTATTAGATTGATAAATAAAGGTTGAAAGGTTGAAGCGCCACTGATTTATTTATTTTCATATTTAATTTAGAAATAAAGATAATAACCAAACCACTAAAGTTGAGTTAGTTTTTGTGATTGTTTTTATGTCCAGTTCAAATCTAGTTCTTACTTCGATTACATATTCTTAAAACGTACCAAGCCAAGTGACCAGCGTCAAACATTGCCTACTTTATTATTCTTGTGACCATTCGTGTACTGTATTTTGCATTTTAAATATCGTGAAGTGCGCACGAGTGGACAAACAAACTAAGTGACAGACTCACGCCTGACTATTTGGCAAATGACTATTTACATCTTGGCAAATAGAGAAAAAAATTAAATTTGTATATTTTCAACATAGCTGTACATAATTTGTTTTAAAACGAATTGTCTTAAAGACTCGTAAAAAAATTAACACCAGATTTGAATCTTCGTAAAATTAATAACATTTATGGATTTTTAACGTTTTATTTATAGTTTTTTTTAAACATTCTGCTAAAAAGCGGCACGGCCGTACGGTCTTCGAAATCCTTTTCTCGAAGCAGTTCAGACCCCTATAACTTAGAACAAAATATTTGTAATATCGATATAGGTACCTAATCAGTATAAGATGTTGTTAGTATAGCTAATTACGTAATTACTTAAGACAGAAGTCCCCTTAAATAGGTACCTATAAATAAAATAACCGACTTGGTATTACATGGATCTCACTTTTTACGGTAGAACTGCGTTGCGAGATTTGGTTCTTTTAGTATGTTTTTGATGGCATAAACCTTTTAAATGTAGTAGTTTTTAGACCAACGTTTTTATGTTTAAATTTTTACATTATCCACAATTTAAATAACAATATAATGTTCTTGCTACATAACTAAGTATCCATTGGTAAATACAAAACATAACATTGTGACACGCCGTTACCTAAACAATTTTCCCGTTTCCCGCTTAATTTATCTTGTCAAAATCTAATTTGTCAATTTGACACCCCATATAACCATGGAGGTTTTAATAGATAGAGTTTAGAGTTGTTTGAATTGATGGGTTGGGTTGGGGTAGCTTCTAACGGGAGATTAAATTGTGTAAATAGAGATTAGGCAGATAATCCGGGGTTTTGTTCCGTGACGTGTTGGCGCCGTGACTTCGGGTGGCATTTTGTGTTAAATCGGAAAGTTAACGGCTATTTTAAATGAATGAACATTAGTATTGTGCATATTTTACTTGAACCTTCAAATTGGATTGCGTCCGCGTGATTTTTAGTATGTACCTATATATTCACCATACCTGCACAAATTAATAGATAATAGTTAAGTTATTGTAATCTGACACCTTTGTCAAGATTTGTTTTTATAAATTTGTTTAAAACGATTTTTTTGACAACTTTTTAAATCCTTCCTTCTACAGGTTAACTGATGGTTCTATATATAAAGTTATCTTTATTCTGGTATTGCGTACCACAGCTAAGCCCATGGGCTAAGGACATTATAATTAATTATTTATTCACAAAATCCTTACACCGTGATATAGTAAAGGTCAAAATCTAACCACCCCTCCCTTTTCAGGTCCAATTCGTCGGGGAGCAGTATAAACTCTCCTCTCGGGCCGGGGGCCTCTTGTGGGATGGCGGCTAATCCCTACGGTGTGCCGTTATACGGCGGCGCCCCTGTCCAGGGTTACGGATGTGCCCCAGCTGACCTGCCCCATTATGGAGATATGCGTGGAGCCAGTTGGTACCCCGCCTCGAATGACCCCAGGTTTGCCAGTGAGTCGGTATTTTGTTTCTTAGATTTATGTACTTAATTAACAGGTTCTGAAAGATGGATTGGGTGACAGTATACATTTGCTTGGCGGATATGGTTTATCTGTCTAATCTATTTATTTATTTATTAAAATTCACCACATCATATAGGTACAATTCTTTATCTACAGTATATGTTACAAGCTATCTTTTCTAAAATACATGACAATTATGGTTAATATAAAGGAGTGTTACAAATAATCACTAGCAAACGGCGGATTATTACCTATCAGATAGGCTCTTAACAATGTTTTTTGTATTGATCAGCCCACTACCGAATGTGTATATTCGCGAAGAATTCGAATTATATATTATGACAAATTCTAACGGAGTTAGCGCTGCTAATATGATCGTGTCCTTAGATAGGTACATAATGCAACATAAAATTCTCATTTCGCCAGCGACAGGGAGCAATTTAAATTCATCATAATTTAATTACATAACGCAACAATGAAAATTAATTTGATTAATTTTCGCTCGCCACCCCGCTTGTCCACTAAGATGGCGGCGCGTCAATAAATGCGCGCGCACGGCTGCGGCCTACGGTACCCCTCACACGTAACCCGCGCCACGCTAACCTAATGAGACACCTTTGAACTACAATAAACAGTTTTTGGCAAAACATTTATTTCACAAGAATAACAAGTTAAAAGAAATAACATAATCACTTTCGCGGATATCTCAAGTAGGTAAAAGCAACATTCATTATTATTATGACGTGTATATTCTGGAATAAATTACGATAAAAGTCGCCAAAGTTCTGTTGCAAGTCTCATCAATTCAGTGGTTAGAAATAATAATAATAAATCGTTTATTTGCAAAGAAAGTATATACATTGAAATTGATTAGGTACTTATACGATAAAAGCGGCACAAGCTTAAATAAGCAAGCATATTAATTTAATTAATTAATGTGGAACATAAAATCATAGGTAAATATTACGTTTAAAAATAGATATAATTTTACGAACGAATATTATTTGATTCGTTCTGAATTATTTTCAGAGGCGCTACAATATTGTTTCCTTAATAAGTTTTCTTTTTAGATAAGTTAGATGATTAGTTTTTTGTTCCTCGTGCATGTCGTCAATACTTGGATCTAGGATCTCCTCATGATGTTTTCCTTCATCATGAAATGCAGCAGTCTTGGCTTAGTGGCTCTCTCTGCGACTTTATTTTTATATAACATTCGCTTGAACGGTGAAGTAAAACATCGTAAGGAAACCGGCTTGTCTTAGACCCAAAAAGTCGACGTGTATCAGGCACAGGAGGCTGATACTTGCCTGTTAGATTGACAAATGATTATGAAACAGATACAGAAATCTGAGGCGCAAATCTAAAAAGGTTGTAGCGCCACAGGTTTATTTTAACTTAATACTTAGGCGAGTAAAATCTAACTGTTTGAACAGCAATGACGCACTTTAAAAACATAAATGTCTCAAATTGCGGCTTCCCGTCGCCAAGCAAACACCATTAAGTATTAAAAAATAATGAGTACGTGCTCGGCTACCAGTGCGGTGTCTTAGTAACCTAAGATTATTCAACTGACACGGTAACTTGTGTAACTCTGAAGCAGAATGACTCCGTCATAATTTTCTATCATTCATATTTCTAGGCAAAGCCGAAATTTCATAACATGAATCATTAATACGCAGATAGTTCTCTGATGAGAAAACTCAGAGAATGGATCTTATTATTGAATGGTAAACTTAACCTACAATTTTCGTTTGAAATAAATAAACCACTTTTGAAATTGGGTAGGGAAAACGGAAACTACAAAGAACTGAAGTTTATTTAATGTAATACTAATTACTTTATCAATAATCATGTGTTTTAGATATAGTAATTATATAATTCTTAACTTATTCATGTAACTAAACATAACAATCAAATATACAGGAGAAAGGCTATTTATTTTTATTCTATTAATTTATGTTTAGTCTATTTAATACCATAAATCATAGAGTCGAAGTCAAATATTTTGTTATAGTAATCGAATCGCTTAATATCTACGCTTGCAATTTTATAAGCCTTTAATTTATAAACTTTATTATAATAATAAAAATTTTATATTAAGAAGTTTTGTTAATGTATAGTATTCATATAGGTGATGTAAAAAGCGTGATTGTCTACTCTTGCTATAGCAGAAATCATCATACATTTCCTCCTAATTTAAAGGAATAAATCAGTCCGGATTCACTGTTTTAACTAGTCTTCTTCTGTTAAATTGTGTTGAAAAGAAAAGAGAACCTTAGTAATAACAGTGCAATTCGATTGATTTCTTTTTATAAATGAGGTGTTCTACATAATTCCAATAATTTACAAATAATATCGCGTAGAAAACGCTTTGAAAACTGACTACACTCCGTCAAAATTTCACGAAAATAAAATGCAACTATTAAATAAAACAAATAAAACTATAAGTATGCGTATGTATGCATTAAAATACGCTTGACGGCAAAAATATAAAATAGATGGAAGATACTTAAGAGGAAGAGAAGATAAAAGTGAAGAAATATAAACAAAAGATAATCGGTACCAATTAGATGCACTTATAATCATTTTGACAGCCTCTGAAGTTTTTATTGCATTGCTCGTTGAGAAAGGAAAGCACCAGCTCTGGGGTCACCGGTACTATGTACCAGGCGCCAAATTAAACCTTTTTAAATTATTACATTTGTTGTATACAGAAGCAAACTGACCCCTTGAATTACACATTAAATAACTAATCAACAAGTCGTAACCACTTGATTCAAGATGGCGATCAATTTATTTAGACAATGCAAAGCAAATATCGGAACTTGGACAATTATTATGCAAATAGTTCTACCCAACTATATTTCAATATTAAAGCAAATTTTAGTTTAATTTAAATGGATGTTAGCTCACGACACCGCTCTAATGATGTGACCATTCGATCGTGAGGCATATATTAGGTCCTTACATATGAAATTGGCGTTTTGTATGGGAGGAACAAAAAGTCGAATATTTTTAAAAATAATATATTTAATTAATCAAAGTATGAACCATTGTTTTCTATGCACTTTTGCCATCTCATAGGTAGTTCATTGATCCCTTTACTAAAAAAACCAGTCGGACGGGAATCAATAAAATCTGTGAAGGCGATTTGGACTGCCCCATCAGAGTTAAATTTTTTCCCTTGCAAGAAGTTGTCCAAATTTCGAAAAAAATGGTAATCTGTTGGAGCAAGGTCCGGGGAGTACGGAGGATGTCTTAAACATTCCAATTGAAGCTCTTCTAATTTGGTAGCCGTCTGTTGTGCAGTGTGTGGTCTAGCGTTGTAGTGAAGTAGCAGTGGCGTGGAGCGATTGACCAGCCTAGGTTGTTTAGCCGCTAGCTTTTCCATCATGGTTTGCAATTGCTGACAATAGACATCAGCCGTAATAGTCTGGCCAGATTTAAGAAAACTGCAATGAACAATACCGGCACTAGTCCACCAAACGCTTACAAGTAACTTTTTTGGGGCTAATTTTCGCTTGGGGCAGGATTTGGCTGGCTGGCCAGGATCCAACCATTGCGCTGAGCGCTTTCAACTATCGTAAAGAATCCATTTTTCATCACAGGTAATGATTCGGTTTAAAATACCTTCATTATTGTGCCGGTTCAGTAATGTAACGCAGCAGTCGACGCGCTTTTGCCGGTTTTCTTCAGTCAATTCGTGAGGTACCCATCTTTCAAGCTGTTTAATCTTCCCAATTTGCTCCAAGTGAATTAAAACAGTTTTATCACTAACACCGCAGCCTGCAGCTAACTCGGACGTGGTTTGCGATGGGTCCGCTTCCACAATAGCCTTCAATACTTCATTATCAACTTGGGTCTCAGGCCGTCCACGGGGCTTGTTCTGCAGGTCGAAATTTCCAGAACGAACTTTTGCAACATGACCGCCATACACATCATTCACCCTTCGAGTCGTTTCCGCAGCACTAGTGCCACGGCGGAACTCGTACTTTAAGAAATATTGCGATACTTTAAGTTTTCCATTTTGTAAAATGAGTGACGCAAACAGAAAAAAACAGAAGAAAAAAACAAATGAATGATGGTCGTCGAAGCACAAATACATGAGTAAATAGCTGTATAAATTTGAATTTGGAATTCCTTACCAAAGAGGAGAACATCGTGATTAAAGTGGCCAGTACGAAAAACGCCAATTTCATATGTAAGGACCTAATATATTAGACAATTTGTTTTAAATTTTATTAGGATTTGGATAAAAGACAGGTAAATTAAACTAAATATTAATTTAGAAGGTATTATAGTTATATAACTAAAAGCTTATGACAATAGATTAAAAGTATACCGACTGCTAAATTCAGATTGTTTTCTGGGTTTGAAGTTAAAATAAATTTTCAATACTACCAGTTCGCTCTGTGTGCCTTCCTTCCACCCTCACACATCATCTGTCCATCTAAAGGTCTCCATTTCAGAAGTAAGGCATTTCCTAAAAACTAGCTTTTGTATAGTCACTAAACTTTCTTTATGCGCCTTTCTTGAACGCTTCCCTCTACACTATGTATACATGTATTAGTTTTTTAATCACCGCTTACAGACAGCCAAATCAAATTATTTTGTATATCTAATATATAACTCGTGTCGCGGTGTTTGTAGTTAAACTCCTCCGAAACGGCTTGACCGATTCTCATGAAATTTTGTGTGCATATTGGGTATGTCTGAGAATCGGACAACATCTATTTTTCATCCCCCTAAATGTTAGGTAGTCCACCCTTAAATTGTTTTATTTTTAGATAAAAGGTTTTTTTTTATGATACAGCATTAAAAAATACATACAACCCCTAATTTTCAACCCTCTACGATCAACCCCTATTTTTTATTATAAATGATATACATGGCAAAACGACGTTTGCCAGGTCAGCTAGTATCTCATAAAATTATTAACAAATGTCACATTATTGAATTTGTTATAATAATTAATTTCAATAATACTAAATGTGATTTTAATATTTGTTTGCGTTTAATCAAAAGAC